AGATATTGAGACTCCTAATTAGATTTAATTTGAACTGCATTTGAAAGAGAGGGTTACACTGTTCAAAAATAAAGTTTGGAGACTATTGGATTGTAGCTGTTCTCTAAGAGCACCAATAACGCAGGAACCGGGAACTCTAAGTGGGGACAGTGACTGTAACTAACTTGTAGTACTTTTTAAACCTCTTTACTTCCTCATGTGTGCTGTTTTTGGCCTACATTCTTTCCCAATGCAGCAGTTAAACCCTTACAACAAAAAGGGCCCATGTGTTTTAACTTTTAAAGAGCAAAATGGATGGACCATCTTACTCTAGAGCTGGGCTTGGGGGAGGGAGCCTTAGGGGTGGAATGAAAGTTCTGCTTTAATGAACAAAGGAAGTGGTTAGGTTCCTGGGGCCTATGCAGCTTCAAGAAGAGCCTTCAAAGTGACCTTGACGGCATCTAAGACTAGATACTTCCAGCTAAGAATGGGAGGACCAATCCCTTATCCTTACTCCTTATTCTATAGCATAAGGGGACTTTCTAGGCTGTCCAAAGGGCCTGCCTGCTTAGGACTTAAGTTCTGTCCCATCTGACATGTTCAAGGCCCAGAGTCTTGGTAGCTGTAAGGCTGACTCTTAGGAATCCTGAACTGATAACCTCCGGACAGCCTGAGGGCTCCATGTTCTGGGCTCTGTTCTGAGGAGGGCCAAGGGCTGGAGCTTCTTAGCAATAGCTGTGGCTGATCCTTGGCCGCAATACCTTATGCCAGTCTGGCCAAGAGAAGAGCTGCTGTGGAGCACTTGGTGTTCTCTAGCCTTTGCAGAGGTCACAGGCAGACAGGCAGGGGAGCAAGGCCTTAATTAGCTGGGGACTGCTGGAGCAAAGCCATTTGGCAGTGACTTACCTCAGCTCTTCAGTGGGACTGGCTCCTTCTCCTAGTGACAGTGCAAATACTCCCTCATTTTATAGCTTTTGGGTCTCTGAGAGATCGCTCTTCTTCGTGAGCTTCAAGACACTTCTTGTGTAGTGCGGTTCAAGGCTGATTTTAAAAGCTAGTTTGGTGGAATGACAAAAATCTTTCCATCTGCACAGTGTTTTTTTAACCACTCAAGCATGTTTTATTTCATTTGTTCTGAACCAATAGTCTGTGAGTTATAGATGAGGAAATTGAAGCCCAGAAAGAAGTACTTAATTAAGATTATAGCTAATTATACTCTGGATTCTCAGACTAGAGTTCTTTCTACCAATATGTGAAAGACAAGGGGAAAGGAGGAGGATGGCAAATAAAATTGGGTAACTTTTATGTGCCAGGCACTGTTTAAGGTGCTTAGCTTAGTTTTCTCACAATGTTATATGGTTAAAAATTTTACCACTCTGAGCCCCAGAGTGCTTAAGTAACTTAGTCAATATTATAGCTAAGAAGTGTCAGTGCCTGGATTCAGATCTAAGTCTGTTTGACTTTAGAGCCTGTGTCTTTCTATCATTATACTATATTCCTTGACAGTTTTTTATTCTAAAAAATACTTATTGAGTTGCAGATGTGATGCTTGGTAGAAGGGTTACAAGAAAGTGTAAGATTCAGTAATCTCTGCCCTCATGGAACTCATAATTTTGGTGATAATTCACTGCCACGTTAGAGGGAATGGGGACAAGAAGTAGAGAGAGGTATAAGAGGCAGTGGGAGTTCAGGGGTCCCCAGACTTTCATGGTAGAGGATTTGTTAGAGGAGGCTTCCCAGAGAAGTAGGTACCTCAGCTAGTCTAGTGATGAAGGACATAGGCCCTGGGGTCAGTCTACCTAGGTCCCATCTTTTGCTAGTAATACTTTGGGCAAGTTACTTCACCTCTCTGAGCCTACTTCCTTATCTATAACATGGAGATAATCATATTATCTACCTCAAAGGGCTGTTGTCAAGATTAAGATGAGCTAATTCATGTTGAACATTTAGCAGATTGCCTGACACATAATAAGTTCTCATTAATTGTCATCCATTATAATTATTATTGTCTAACCTGTGTTTCTCCCGTATTCAGCTGGAGTTGAGACAAATGAAGCCAGGTTCTCTTAGGACCTCTTATTATCAATAAACTGGGAGTTTATTTAAGCGATTTCAAAATATTCCATTGAGGCCTAAGATTCTGTCAGAGTAAAAACTGCCACTTAATTGTTTCCAGGAGAGCAGCTGTTTGTATCTGGTGGCGACCCAACCTGGCATGTGCTTCCTAAAGCATCTCTGGTTAGTCCCCGGAGGTGGTATTATCTGGTAAAGACCCCTTTTTCCTCTCCTACTTCATTGGATAGGCCAGAAGCTGGCCTTCTTTAAGAAACTGGTCTATTGGGGCGCCTGGGTGGCTCAGTCGTTAAGCGTCTGCCTTCGGCTCAGGTCATGATCCCGGAGTTCCGGGATCGAGTCCCGCATCGGGCTCCCTGCTCGGCAGGAAGCCTGCTTCTCCCTCTCCCACTCCCCCTGCTTGTGTTCCTGCTGTCGCTATCTCTCTCTGTCAAATAAATAAAAACAAAACAAAACAAACAAACAAAAGAAACTGGTCTATTCCCTTGAGAGCCCATGTTTCCCCTCCCCTCCCCCCATGTTCTTTATCACTAGACTAGCGCTGATGTACCTACGTCTCTGGGAAGCCTTCCCTGGCAACTTCTCTTACCACCAAAGATTAGGGCTCCCCTCAAGCTCTCATTACCTCCTTTCCCTCTGTCTATCCCTATGTTCCCATTGCCTCTATCATAGCAATGAATATCACCAAATTATGAGTTCAGTGAGTGCAGAGATTACTAAATCTTACACTTCCTTATATCCTTGTACCTAGCATTACATCTGTAGCTCCGTAAAGATTTTTTAGAATAAACAACTGTCAAGGAATATAGTGTTAATGATAGAAAGACACAGGCTTTAAAGTTAGCAGACAGATCTGAATCCAGGTTAACTTTCTCCCAAGCTTATTGTGCTGGAGAAAGTAATGTGATTTTAGTAGTCCAAGTCCAGTTCCTATTTAGGGTCCTGTCCATTTGGGGAACTGTGGAATAATAGTACCTTTATACATGTGTACACTGCATTCTTTTATTTTTATTTTTTAATTTTTAAAAAAGATTTTATTGATTTATTTGACAGAGAGAGAGACAACACAGCAGGGGGGCTGGTAGAGGGAGAAGCAGGCTCCCCGCAGAGCAGGGAGCCTGATGCGGGGCTCGATCCCAGGACCCTGGGATCAGGACCTGAGCTGAAGGCAGACACTTAACGACTGAGCCACCCAGGCACCCCTAAAATAAGTTCTTAAAAAGTAAATTAAAAAATAAAATAAATGTTCTTCAGAATATCTCTCTCATATGAAAAGACAATAGGTATTACTCTTGCGAGACCTTTGAGATCAAGTTTGGAAAAGCTCGGATCCTTTAATATGATAAGGAAAGGTATGTAGGGTTTCCTACATTTAAAAAAAATATATTTTATTTATTTAGTTGACAGAGAAAGACACAGCGAGAGAGGGAACGCAAGCAGGGAGAGTGGGAGAGGGAGAAGCAGGCTTCCCGCTGAGCAGGGAGCCCGATGTGGGGTTCGATCCCAGGACCCTGGGATCATGACCTGAGCTGAAAGCAGATGCTTAATGACTGAGCCACCCAGGCGCCCCCCCCCAACTTTTTTTAAGCTTGAACTCATGACCGTGAGATCAAGAGTCCCATGCTCTATGGGCTGAGCCAGCCAGATGCCCCTCCTATATTTTTTTTGATTACGGAATTTCCACCCCCTCCCTGCTCCCTACTCCCAAACTCCAGACAAACCCATCTATTGACATTACATAAGACACTAGTGTTCCACGGAACACAATTAGGTAAATGAGCACAAAGTGGCTTCCTGCTTTTCTGTTAGTAAGGCTTGGAGAAGTTGAATGGCAACCTGTCCTTTGGTTGGCAAGGTAACTCCAGGGCTCCCCTTCTTTTCACAGACTGGGTTGTTGCTACAGAAAGCTGGAGATCTTGGTTAATCCACCAGTCCCTGATTATGTCCTAGAATCAATGGTAAGAGATTTAGCTAATCGAGCATCTGTAGTTGGCCTAGTCTTTTGCTTCTGGAGGAGAAGATAAATGCCCTGCTTTGAGGGAACGTCACTCAGTTTAATCAGAGAACTGTCTGTCTGCTCTCTTGTGAATTGCAGCTGGCCCAGAAGTGTGTTGGGGGTGGATTGCATTCATAATTTCAGTCTTGCAGAGTTCTGGGTTTCAGTCCTCACTCAGCTTTGACTGAGGTCCTTCTATTTTCTCAATCCTAGTTTTCTTATTTATTTCTTTTCTTTTTTTTTTTTTTTTTAGAGAAAGAGAGAGAGTGCATGAGCACAAGTGGCGGCCGGGTCGGGGGAGGGTGTGGAACAGCAGAGGGAGAGGAAGAGAGAGAATCCCAAACAGGCTCCACCCTCAGTGCAGAGCCTGATGCGGGGCTCGATCTCACGACCCTGAGATCATGACCTGAGCTGAAATCAAGAGTCGGATACTCAACTGACTGAGCCACCCAGGCACCCCGTTTTCTTATTTAAAGATGAAAATGTTGGGTTAGATTAATTGCATTCTGTAAGTAGTTATTAAACATTTACTATGACCCAGTCATTGTTCTAGGATAATAGGGACGTAGTGATAGAACACCAGATACTGCCTCATGGAACTTCATCTCATAGAGATGGTTGGATGATATGAGTGAGGAAGTATATCTTACAGATTAAGACTTTAGTGGTTGAGGATCACTGTAGTCTAGCAGGCTTCCTGGAGATGGTGTGACTTAGTCTCTAAAACTCTGTTTAAGGTTTATCTCCTGCAGAAGTTCAGGGAGGCGTTTGGATTGGAAAAATGACCTGAGTGCAAGTAGGAGTGAGCAAGGAGATTGGGGTGCTCAGGTGAAGGTGTTATCCTGTATCGCTCTTAAGCGTGGCACCCCCCAGGGCACTCTGCTGAGGGGGCATTTTCCAGGCAGCTGTAGGTAGCACTGCCAGGGAGAATTTGCAGCTAAGGACAGAGGGAGGGGCTGGTAGATGGGGGGGTGATATTGTGGGTAGAGGCAAAGAATCATAAATGATGAAGTCAGAAGTTAAAAGGATTGGGAACTGGTGAGTTGTGGCATGTGAAATGGGTCAGGGCAACAGTTCTTGTCTCAGGTTTTAAATGACAGAGGGACTTGAAACCTGAATATGTTTATATATAATTTACTAAGTTCTTACCATGAGCCAGGCACTGTTATTAACATTTTTAATGGTAAGCTGGTTTAATTTTTTATTATTTAATTCTTATTTTTAGAGTATTTAATCTTTATACCAATCCTAAGAGGGTAGGTATACTATTACTTTCTTATTTTACAGGTGAGAAAACAGAGGCCCAGAGAACTTAAATAACTTGTTCAAACTCACATGGTTAATGAGTGGTGGAATTGGGATTCAGGCCTGGATGATATATTTTAGGGTCCTTCTTCTTAATCACCATGCTGTGCAGTTTTAGGCAGTGAGAAGCCATCACAGATTTCTGGCTAGTGAACAACTTGTTACCAGCATGTGGTGCAGGGCTTTGTCCCAAGGAGAGGTGGAATTAAAAGCAGGAAGACTAGCCACAGGCTGTTGTAGTACTCACCTCACTTACTTTTGACGGTATGTAAAAGTCTTGACATGACTTCCTGAAATGGATCTGGCAGTGGCCAGCCCTACTTGTAATTAGCCCATTTTAGAAATCATTTTCCAAAGAATTTTAATCTACAGGAAGCTCTCCTATCCCTATCAAACAGGCTGTTCTAGGCAGAAGGGCCCCAGGAATCAGGTCAGGATGCCTCCTCTGGAGTCAGAGTCCAAGCAGCATTTGCAAGAGGGAAAGTATTAAGACTTCCTGCTGCCATTAGAGTTCGCTCTCCTGATATGGGGGGAATATCTCCATCATGGCTGATAGTCTGGCTGCTCATCTTGAGAGACTGGGCAAGTGGGCTGCCTTACGGAGATGTGACAGACATAGTCCTTGTCCTTGAGCAATCCACAGATTACTGAGAAGATAAGCACATAGGCAAGTACACTCAATATTGTGTCACAAGTGCTACAGTAGAGGAACATAGAAGATGTATTGGGAGAAAGGAAGGAGGGTCTAAATGCTTAGCTAGAGGGTGTCAGGGAAGGCTTCAGAGATGTTTAAGGTGGATCTTTAAGGATGACCAGAAGAGTGTCTCTCGGGTCCTCACTTCCAAGATGACCAAGGAAAGAAGGAATAATGGTCATGCCAAAAAGAGCCGTGGTCTCATGCAGCCTCTTTGCTGCACCAGCTGGGTCTGTTGTGTGCCCAAGGACAAGGCCATTGAGAAGTTTGTTATTCGGAACGTAGAGGCTGCCGCCGTCAGGGACATGTCTGAAGCAAGTGTGTTCAAGGTCGATGTGCTTCCCAAGCTCTATGTGAGACTACATTACTATGTGCGCTGTGCCATCCATAGTAAGGTAGTCAGGAATTGCTCTCGTGAAGCACAGAAGGACCCAACACCCCCACCCCAATTTAGACCTACAGGTACTGCCCCACTACCTCTACCAAAACCCATGTAAGGAGCTAAGTCCTTTGGGGGGAAAAAATGGAGATTATACTTAAAAAAACAAACAAACAAAAAAAGGATGACCAGAAGAGTACTAGGTAATGTGAGTGAAGAAATACATGGCATGTTCAAGGAATGGTGACTTGTTCCTGGTGCTGGACCGACTGTTGGGCTGCTCAGAAGGGATTCTGAATGGCAAAGAGCTTACATCCTGTTGGAGTTGAGCTTTACTCTAGATATTTAAGGCGGAGAGTCACTTGGTCAGAGTGGTGTTTTAGAAAGATCTCTTTGATGCCTGTGCTCGGGAGGCCGAGAATGGATAAGCTAGAGGCAGGAGAGCATTTGCAAATGCTGGAGGCTGGGACTAGGGTAGTGGTCATGAGGATTGACTGAAATGTGTGAGTGAAGGGCGGAGGAGGAAGTGTTAGGTGACTGGATGTTAGTGTGAGGCCATTAACACATGGAAATACAGCCTAGAGAGCTGCTGTGGGGAGTTTATGTTGGTTTTGAGATGCTCGTGGATGACATCTGCTACTTAGGGGAGAAGATAGGAGCTTTGGAGTTCCTCGGAGAGGTAGGAGCATAGCTATGGGAATGATTTCCAAGTGAGAGTAGAGATCATTAGCAATAGGTGAGGGGCGCCTGGGTGGCTCAGTGGGTTAAGTGTCTGCCTTTGGCTCAGGTCATGATCCCAAAGTCCCATTGGGCTCCCTGCTCAGTGGGGCATTTTCTTCTCCCTCTGCCCTTCTCCCTGCTCGAGCTCTCTCTCTTGCTCTCTCTCAAATAAATAAATAACTAAAATCTTAAAAAAAGAGTAATAGGTGAAGTCACCTGAGTAAAATCCATAAAGTGCGGAAAGGAAGGAGGTTGAGGATAGGGCCTAGGGGAACTCTGATATATGTAGACAGAAAAGCTAGGGAAGGAGTCTTGAGGAGGAGCAATCAGAGAGGTAGGAGAAAGTACTGTCTGGGAAGCCAGGAATGGGAAGAGTTTCTAAAATAAAGTGTCTTAAGTTTCTATTGAAGCAGAGAACAAGTAGGGTGAGCCCTGAACTGAGCTGTTGAGTCATTGGTGACCTGGTGACGGCAGTTTCAGTAGAGGGGTGGGGATGGTAGCTAGACTGCTGTGGCTTAGGGAGGGAGTAGGAGGTGAGGACACAGAGGCACCAAGTGTAGACTTCTCTTTTGAGAAAGATAGTGGTAAGGGAAGGAAGGAAAGAAGATGATATTTTGAAGAGGGACCAGAGAAGGCAGGTTCAAAGATTTTGTTTTTTCAAAGTTGGCGGAGTGGAGTGGGGAGCTGAGCTGGTCTAGGTTGAGGGAGGAGAGAGAGAGGAATGTAGCCAATGGAGGTGCCATGTCTGTCTCAGAGCTTCCTGTTCCTGTCGGAGCCCTACACTGTGGTGCTCTGTTGAAGCCTGCAGTCACAAGGAGTGTGGAGTAGGTAGGGGAGACCTGGACATTAATAATAATTAACGATAGTACTATATATTGAGTAACCTCTGCATGCTAGGCATTTTTCTAGATACATCGAACACAATTCTAATGCTCACCACAGAAGTAAGTACAGTATAGTCACCATTTTCTATGCGGAAATAGATGAGGTAAGAAACATTCAGCCAGTGAGAGGTGGAGCCAGCATTTCAGCTGAGGTCTGTGAGTCCTCAAGGTGTGCTCTTTCCACACCACTGTTGTTTTTCCCATTAGAAACTCAATCCTTGAAAGGGGGTGAGGATGGGTGGATGGCCCAGAGAGAGTAAAGGTGGAGTTCTGTGATCGGCCCTACCCTGGAGGGACTGTGACTTAATCTCTGGAGCGAAGGAGAAAGGCCTTGCTCTGTTTTCTCTCTGCTTAGCCAGTGGCTTTCACTTTATTTTTCTCCATCTTTCTGTAATTTGCCAGCAACGCCAATAGGCCCTGGCTGCTGCATATTGTTGATGACTCACAGAGCAAAAAAGGATCAATTTCTTTCTTTTTAAAAAATATTTTATTTATTTATTATTTGAGAGAGAGATTGAGAGAATGAGTGGGAGGAGGGGCAGAGGGCGAAGCAGACCCCCCATGGAGCAGGGAGCCTGATGCAGGACTCGATCCTAGGACCCTGGGATCGTGACCTGAGCCGAAGACGCTTAACCGACTGCGCTTACCCAGGTGCCCAAAAAGGATCAATTTCTAAGCCCAAGCTATTCTTTTTGACAACTTAACTGTGAGGACTTGCTGAGTTGTACAATGCCACTCTCTTTGGCACCGGGCACATGGTAAGGTTCTTCTTGATACATATTTTTATTTAAATGGAATAATTTTGGATCAGTGGAAAGAGCGAAACACTGAAAATTAGAAGGCATGATTTCCAGTGTGAGTGAGCAGCTAAGTTACTCAGGCAGGTCACTTCCCCTTGCATATTTATTTGACATAAGGCGGGGACTGTTTTACTATCCTTGTACCCACATACCTGGCTCACGGCCCGATTGAACAGGTGTCCTGAGTAAGTTATTATGGAGTAATTTAATCTGCTCTTCTGTTAAATGAGAGAGTTGGACCTTTTGATTTCTAAAAGTCATCCCAATTCTAAAAATGTGTTGTTCTATGAGGATTTATATACTTTAATTATAAAATATAAGTGTGGTAATTTATTTAGGACCTACTACTTGCCAGGCACTGTGTGATGCTCTTTACATACTTATTTTTTTAAGATGATTTTTAAAAATTTTAAATTTTGTCTTGGTTGTTTAGAAATATTAAGGTCCCTTGGGCTGTCAGCTTGACGAGGACAGTACGACCTCTGCCTGTTTACCATTGTAGCTCTAGTGCTAGACATAGTCCTGGGCATGTGATAGATGCTTAGTAAGTTTTTGTTGAACAAGTGAATGAATGGATGTTATCATCACAACAATTCTGTAACAGAGGTACTATTAGCTCCATCTTACTAAGAAAATTACAGTTCCATGGTCATAGAACTAGTATATAGCTAAGACAGAGGATTCAGACCTGTCTAACTATAGAATTATTAGTGCCTTTACCACTTAATACCACAATGCCTCCACTCAACTGATGTTTAAAAAAAAAATTTTTTTTTTTAAGTAGTCTCTACACCCAATGTGGGGCTTGAACTCACGATCGCTTACTCTTCTGATGAGCCATCTAGGTGCCCCCACGTACCTGATGTTTTAATTGAAAATTTGAAAGGAAGGAAGAGAGTGAGGAAAAATGCAGAGCAGAAAGTCAAATTTTTGTGAGGGATTGGTAATGGGGTTAGATGTTGGGCACCAAAGTTTTATGCACGTTAAGAGTTGGCAAGATTTCTAGCACCTTAAGGAAACAAAGGGCTTATAAAAGCAGCCACTATTCGTTGGCTATTTCATTACTGTGTAATAAATCAATGACATTTAGAAGCCATTTCCGTTGTTTTAAGGATCATGTTCATTGAAAACTCTCAAATTTGTGTTTCCAGCTCAGACTTCTCTGGACTTTAGACTTGTATATCTAACCTCTTAATTGAGATTTTGGATGTCAAATCAGCATTTTATTTTATTTATTTTTTTAAACTTTTTTTTTTTTAAAAGATTTTATTTATTTATTTGAGACAGAGAGAATGAGAGAGAGAGAGCACATGAGAGGGGGGAGGGTCAGAGGGAGAAGCAGGCTCCCTGCCGAGCAGGGAGCGCGATGCGGGACTCGATCCAGGGACTCCAGGATCATGACCTGAGCCGAAAGCAGTCGCTTAACCAACTGAGCCACCCAGGTGCCCTAAACTTTTTTTTAAAAAAGATATTTATTTATTTGAGACACACAGAGAGAGAAACAGCATGAGAGGGGAGAGGGCCAGAGGGAGAAGCAGGCTCCCTGCTGAGCCGGGAGCCCGATGTGGGACTCGATCCCAGGATTCCGGGATCATGACCTGAGCCAAAGGCAGTCGCCCAACCAACTGAGCCACCCAGACACCCTATTTTATTGTTTTTTAAAGATTTTATTTATTTATTCATCAGAGAGAGAGAGCACAAGCAGGGGAGTGGCAGGCAAAGGGAGAGGGAGAAGCAGGCTCCCCGCTGAGCAGGGAGCCCTCTGCGGGGCTCGATCCCAGGACCCTGGGATCATGCATGACCTGAGCCGAAGGCAGACGCTTAACCGACTGAGCCACCCAGGCCTCCGTCTAATCAGCATTTTAAACTTAACAAATTCACACTTACATTCAGTCTGTCAGCAGATCCTATTTGTTCTACCTTTAAAACGTATCCGAAATTCAGACATTTTTCATATCCTCTGCTACTACCCCCTTGATCTGAACTACTGTTGTCCCTTTTCTTGGAGAGGTAATAGCCTCTTAGTTTCCCACTTTTGCCCCTGCCTGCCAACAGTTTGTTTTAAATGGAACAGTCAGAGCGATCCTTTTAAGATGTAAATCTAATCATATAGCTCTTCTGTTCAAAACCGTATCTTTCAGAGAAAAAGTCCAAGTCCTGGGCTTTCAGTTACCTGGCTTATCTTCATCTCCGTCCACCTGCTCACCCTGCCCCGTGGGCCTCCTCACTGTTCTTTGAACAAGAGGGACATGCTCCTGCCTCGAGCCCTTCACATTTGTTTTTCCCCTCTTTTTCCTCTTTCCGTGGGGCTCCTTAGCTCATTTCTTTCAGATCTTTTGGTCAAATGCCAACCTCTCAGTAAGGATTTTTTCAGTCACTCTATTTAAAAATAGCAACTCCTTTCTCAGAGCACCCTGCAACCTCTTTCTTTGTATTTCTCCATAGCCTTTATCACCCTCTGATAGATTTCTTTCTCCAGCCCTCCACCTTGTTAGTTCCACAGGAGCAGGGATTTTCTTTCATTGCCAAGTCCTCAGTGCCTAGAATACTGACTGGTGTGTAGCCTATGCTTAGTAAGTATTTGTTGCATGAAATCTTTTGGGGCAGCTACATTGCTAGAGGCTTTATAGATATTTGTTTACTTTTCTTCACATCCCAGCAAGATGAGGAAAATTACAAGTGAGGAAAATTATTTGTCCAAGATTGCATGGCTAGAAAGTTGTAAAGCCTAGGTCTGTTCCAGGCCCCCCAAAATATTATAGAAGGACGGAGTCTAAATATTATTGCTTTGCTGCTGAGTGAAGTGTGTAAACCAGAGGCCTAGATACCAGAAGAAAGGCAAAGCCTGAACGTCCTGAATTGCGCATTGTTCATTGACTCACGTGGGAACCCACTGATATTTGTGATGCTGCTGCAGCTGGAAACCTAAAACGTACCTGGAAAGAGGCCTCTGGGTGAAATCTTCCTGTGTGCCATTTGACACACCTTTGGCTTGTACACGCAGAAAGTGTACCCCTTCTGGGTTTGGGATGATTTGGAAATTTTTCTCCCCCACTCCCTGGGAAAGACCTTCTTCCCATAGTTTGGGATAACCTTAGAGTTACTCAGGCCAGTTGCTTCACATCGCTCTTCTTTCCTGAGGCTTAATGTCAGCCAAGGTCAGAGTGTCAGCCACCTCAGGGTGTCCTGGAGTGGTACTTTCCATGGTATGTGATTAGAAAGGCCTAGGTCAGAGCTGTTCCTAGAGTAAGATGAGGCTACAGTCTGAAATATCTTTAGGGTAAAATGAGGCTGAATTCAAATGCGATCCTAATAGAAGTGTGTCACTGTCAGAAAAGAAGGTGAAGGAGAATAAGATCAGGATGCACACTGCCCCTGCCCCCCCCTCCACAGCTGGAATATACTATATCCCTCTCCTAAGTCTCAGTACCTGTAGCCACCCCCCACCATTTTTTTTTTATTGTGGTAAAATACATGTAACATAAAATCTACCATTTTAGCCATTTTTTAACTGTACAGTTGAGTGGTATTAAATGCATTCATGATGTTGTGAAACCATCACCACCATGCATCTCCAGGATGCTTTTCTTGTAAAATGGAAACTTATACCCATACACTCCCTTTTCCTGCACCACCCCCCGCCCCCCCAAGCGCCTGGCAGCCACCATTCCACTTTCTGTCTCTGTGATTTTGACTGCTCTAAAACCCAGGTGCCAGTAAGTTTGGGGTGAGGGACCTGGTGAAGGAAGCCCTGGACTTACGAGAGACCCAGACAGATGGAGCAGAAGCAGATGTGTTCAGGGTAAGAATATTCTCAGTGACATGAGGGAAGTAGAAGAAGAGGAAGTGGAAAAAAGTCATCCTGGGGTATGACATGGTCAGTGACATGTCCAGAGAATAATGAATAGTGAAGTGTGGATCAGAGTGGTCCCCAGAGTGAAATGAGATTGGAATCAGAGCTGTTCGATGGGAATAATGAAAATAGGATGAGAACCTTCCCCAGGGTAAGATAAGCCTGGGGGAAAAGTGTATGGGGTGAAAATACCCTTCTCAGGGTGAGAGAAAGAGAATAGCATGTTTGAGCAGGCGCAGGTAGCAAAGGAAGCATAGTGAGAGGAAAGAATTTTAGGGCAAAATCTTTAGGAGATGAGACTAGGGAGACCAGCAGATGTCAGATTGTAGAGAGCCTTGTATGTCCTGTTAAGGATTTGAGACTTTATTCTTTTGGCAAGGCAGAGTCCTTGAAAAGTGTAAAATAAGGGGTAGATCTGGTCAAATTTGCTTCTGGTCACTGTGCCCTGTGTTCCCAGGAGAGCTAAGGTCAGGAAAGGCTAGGCTATGGCAGCTAAGGGACTTGAGGCAGATGTTTGCTGGAAACCACAAGGATCTGGCTTATGGGTTTGAGCTGAGATATGTGAGGGAGGGGGTGGAGTCACAGGGAAATCACAGAGGCTTTCCTGGACTTGGTAAAAAACTAAGAACCTCCATAGTTGCACAGCATTATGAATGTGCTAAATGACACTAAATTGTTCACTTTAAAATGTCAATTTTTGGGGCGCCTGGGTGGCTCAGTTAAATGTCTGCGTTCAGCTCAGGTCATGATCCCAGGGTTCTGGGATGGAGTCCTGAGTAGGGCTCCCTACTCAGTGGGGGGTCTGCTTCTCCCTCTCCCTCTGCTGCTCCCCTGCTTGTGCTCACTCACTCTCTCTCAAATAAATAAATAAAAGCTTTAAAAATAAATATATAAAATGGTCAATTTTGGGGGTGCCTGGGTGGGTCAGTCGGTTAAGCATCTGACTCTGTTTCGGCTTAGGTCATGAGATCAAGCCCCTGCGTCAGGGTCTGCGCTTAGTGGGGAGTCTGCTTGGGATTCTGGTGTTCATGACATCCATGACCTGGCTCTTGTTTATTGCCTTCTCAGCAAATATCTTTGTTTTTATTCCTGCTTTCCATTTTGCTTGAATGTCTTCCTTCCTTGTCTGGTAGCTCCTCATCCTTCAGAACCCAGCTCCAGGGTCACCACTTTTCTGGAAGCCTTCTCCGATTTCCCTGCCCACAGGTAGGCAGCCCATTCGCGTTATTCTTTCATTATACTTGGTATGACTCTCTGTTAGGTATCTCACTGTATTGCGATTGCTTTGTGTGTGATCGTCACACAGCTTGGGAGGTTTTTTAAAGACAGGGGCCCCACTTTCTTTTTTTTCCTGTACCCCTCACCCAGTATTGCACAGAGATGGCTCTCACTGATTATTTTAGAGAAATTCTTATTTCTACACCATACATACCCAGTCACAAAGCGCAAATAATAGGCTATGTTGGTATTGGTCCGTATAGTGAGGTTAACAGGAGGCATCAACCCATAACTGCCTTGCATTTCTTTTCTTTCCACCCTAGCCCACAGATTCCATGGAACAGCAACTGCAAACCTCAGGGCTTAGAAATTAGTTCTTTCATCAGAAAAATAGTAAAAAAAATAAAAAATATCTGAAGTGAGTATAAATGGCAGAGTGTTAGTTGTCTTTGCCAATATTGACTCTCTCATTCTTTTTTTAATGATAGAGCACTTGAGTTTTAGCCGGGCATATATCAACTTTTTGTAACTCTTTGCAACTAAGTGTGGCCAGATGCCCAAGTTCGAACTAGTGGAGTCTAAGTGGAAATGGCGTATCTGCCACTTTTGGGGTCACGTGCTTGAAAAGAGTGGCTGAGTGTCTCTCTTGTCCTTTTTCCTTCCTGCCAGCTGGGGGATGATGAGAGCTACAGCACTTTTTGGTTCCGGAGATGGAAGTGTCACGTTGAGTGAGGATGGCAAAGTTCCACTCTCTGCCTCAGACTGCTCCCTGCTAAACTATTATATGAGAGAGAAATAAACTTCTCTTTGAGTTAATCTACTGTGAATGGGGGTCTCTTAGTTACTGCCGCGTTAGCTGCCCCCTCCCTGATGCAGGGAGGCGTTGGGTTACCGCAGTCTCAAGTTGCTTCTTCCTGCTGCTCCTGGGTGTCTCAGCCTAGTTACTGTGCTCCTCACGGTTCTTGCCTTGCCTTGTCTCTTAGCCCTAATTCCTGTTGCTCCGACGAGTCCCTAAATTCTTTTTTTTTTTTTTTAATTTTTAAAAAGATTTTATTTATTTGAGAGAGAGAGAGAGAGTGCAAGAGAGCACAAGCAGGACCAGGGGCAGAGGGAGAAGCAGACTCCCCACTGAGCGGGGAGCTGGACATGGGGCTCGATCCCAGTGTCCTGGGATCATGACCTGAGCCGAAGGCAGACGCTTAACTGCTGAGCCACCCTGAATTCCCGTGAATTCTCTCATGTACTTAAAAAAATGTATTGAGGTGAAGGTTGTACCATTATAAAATTAACCATTATAAATTGAACAATTCAGTGGCATTCAGTACATTCACAATTTTATGCCACCACTACCTCTATTCCGTTCCAGAACATTTCCACTACTCCAGAGTAGAGCACCTTACCTATTAAGCAGTTTCTTCCCATTTCCACTTCCCCCTGGCAGCCATCAACCTACACTCTCTCTGTGGATTTAATTATTCTGGGTATTTCATATAAATGGAATCATAGAATATGTAACCTTTTGTGTCTAACTTCTTTATTTTTTATTTTTTTTAAGATTCTATTTATTTTTGAGAGAAAGAGAGAGATCACGAGCATGAGCGGGGGGAGAGGCAGAGGGAGAAGCAGGCTCTCCACTGAGCAGGGAGCCCCATGTGGGACTCAATCCCAGGACCCTGGAATCATGACCCGAGCTAAAGGCAGACACCTAACCGACTGAGCCTCCCAGGCGCCCTGTGTCTAACTTCTTTAACTTAGCATAATATTTTGGAGGTTTGTCCACATTGTAGCATTTGTCAGCACACCATTTTCTTTGAAAGTGTTTTTATTGTGCAAAATATATAACATAAAATTTGCTATTTTAACCATTTTAAAGTATATAATTCTGTGGCAGTAATTACATTCACCGTGTTACACAAACATCACCATTCTCTGTTTCCAAAACTTTTTCATCATCTCCAAAGAAACTCTGTACCCATTAAGCAATAACTTCCCCTCAGCTCCTGTTAAATTTTCATCTATTTTCTGTCTCTCTGAGTTCACTTAATTCTAGATATTTCACATTTCCTGTGTTTTATATAGGATCATACAACATTTTTCCTTTTGTGTGTGGCTTATTTCACTTAGCATAATGTTCATAAGGCTCATCTGTGTTGTAGTATGTGTTAGAAAACTTCATGCCTTTTTATGGCTAGTAGTATATCATATGATAGAACCCTCCCCCCCCCCCCAATTGTTTATCCATTCATCTGGTGATAGACACTAGACCCGTGGGCTGTTTCCACCTTTTGGCTCTCAGGAGTAGTGCGGCGATAGACATGCATGTACATGTACTTGTTTGAGTACTAGTTTTTTGTTTTTTTTTTAAGTAGTCTCCATGCCCAGTGTGGGGCTCAAACTCATGACCCTGAGATCAAGAGTCACGTGCTCTATCGGCTGAGCCAGCCAGGGGCCCCTGAGTACCAGTTTTTAATTCTTTTGGCTACATACAAGACCTAGGAGTAGAATTGTGATTAAAGTATAATTCTATATTTAACTATTTTAGGAACCACTCAAACTGTTTTCCACAGCAGCCGCACTATTTTACGTTCCTACCAGAAGTGTCTAAGGGTTCCATTTTGCCTTACCTTTGTCAATACTAGTTATTTTTCATTTTGTCTGTTTTAATTACAGCTATTCTAGTGAGTGGTTCGTGGTGTCTCACCATGTGTGTTTTTTTAAAGGATTAAAAAAAATTTTTAAGTACAATCTACTCCCCAACGTGGGGCTTGAACTCAGTACCCCAAGATCAAGAGTTGCATGCTCTACCGACTGAGCCAGCCAGTCACCCCTCATTGTGGTTTTGATTTGCATTTCCCTAATGATGAATGATGTTGAACATTTTTTCATGTATTTATTGGCCATTTGCATCTTTGGGGAAATGTCTGTTCAAGTCCTTTGTCCATTTAAAATTAGGTTGTCCTTTTGTTGTTGAGTTGTTAGGATTCTTTTTTTTTTTTTTTTAAAGATTTTATTTATTTGACAGAGAGACACAGCAAGAGAGGGAACACAAGCAGAGGGAGTGGGAGAGGGAGAAGCAGGCCTCCCGCTGAGCAGGGAGCCCGATGCGGGGCTGGATCCCAGGACCCTGGGATCATGACCTGAGCTGAAGGCAGAAGCTTAACGACTGAGCCACCCAGGCGCCCCAACTTTTCACTTTCTTGATAATGTGTTTGGTACACAATCATTTTTAATTTTTATGGAGTCCCATGTATCTATTTTGATGTTGTTGCTGCTTATGCTTTTGGTGTCATATCTAAGAATCTAAGGTAATGAAGATTGCCCCTGTGTTTTCTTCTAAGAGTTTTATGGTTTTAGCTCTTATATTTAGGTTGTTGATTCATTTTGAGTTAATATTTGTATAAGATGTGAGTTTAGGGGCGCCTGGGTGGCTCACTCAGTTAAGTGTCTTAACTCTTGATTTTGGCTCAGGTGATGATCTTGGGGTCAGCTCATGCTGGGCGTGGAGTCTGCTTAAGATTCTCCCTCTCCTTCTGCCCCTCCCCACTCGTGCTCTCTCTCTCTCTCTCTCTCTCTAAAAAGAAAAAAAGAAAGAGTGAGTCTAACATACTTTTAAATCCTTGAATGTATGCTGTTGAGATTTTCCCAGTCAGTAATGATTTTTAGGTTTTCAGATCCCAGTAGATAAATTGTGTTAGCTGCTGTTGTCTGAAGTGTCACTTTTCACCCGAGGTGCATCTTCAAGCCGATGTTTCCTCCTCCGATGCGGTCTGCTGATGTGCATTTAATAGGTGCCGGGCTACTTTGAGAGGAAGGCCGCTGACGTTTTAGGGCTGCCGGTCAGTAGAGGGACACACCCTCACGTATGTGCAGTGGGATGCTATACCATGGGCTTGTCTGTATCTCAGACCATGCAGAAAGGGAGGAGAGCAAGGACTGAGTTAAACAAGGCCAAGCTGCCGGGGGTCAGGAGAGCAATGCTGCCAGGTCTCAGGTCTGTACTGAGCCTAGTCACATTCCTAGCCCTGTGTATTTGAGAACTGTGTAAAGCAGTAATGAGTTGCAAAAAGACACAATTTGGAGACAGGAGCCTTGATTTCAAATTGGATGACTTCTGGTTAGTCACTTCTCTCTGAGTTTCAGTGTCTTCAGATACACAGTGTGAATGTTGGCTTCATCGGGTTGTTCTGTTTTTGAAGATCAGCTGAGATTATCAGTGGGAAAATGATTTGGACACTGTAAAATGCTGTGCACATTTAGGAATTTAATGGGGAGTCAAGAAGAGACTAATTCTTCCAGGAGTTGTTGTGGGTTGGTTGGTTGGTTTGTTTTTTAAGATTCTCCCCCTGCCTATGATTTACAGCAAAGGTTTGAGGCTTATTGGCCAGATGCGTGTTTTTCAGCTTTTTTCAAATAATTTTACATTTGTTGTGACTCTGTCTTTTTGTGAGTGACAGAGATACAACTCAGGCTGACTTAAGCAAGAGAGGGACTTGCTGACTGAAGTAACTAAAAGGCTAGAAGTCTATTTGTCTTTAGGTACAGCAGGATCCAAAACAGCAAGGGACTTGAATGATGTCATTTGGACCTAATCTCTCTTCCTTTGGCTCTGCTTTTCTTTGTTTTGGTGTCATTCTTAGGCAGGCTCCACCCATGCCGCGGCGGAGATCGGTATCAGCTTAGGGTGTGCATTCTACTAGCTAAGCAACCACTGTTGAAAGATAATACCTCTTTCCCGATGGTGCTGGCAGTCCCGGCTATGATTTTGGCTTGGGTCATGTGTCCACCCTAAAGTAATCACAGAGGAATGCTGGACATTCATTGGCCAACAGAGTTACATTCTTTCTACTCATGGAACCCGGGGCTCAGGGTCTGCTCCCCTGGATCCATGTGGACCAAGAGCAGGTAAGAGTGGTCCCTTAAGGGAAAATCAGGATGCATTTACATCAAGAACGGTTTGGGAGGTGGGGCAATAGTTAAGTCACAAAATTCACAGATGTTCACCACAAAAAAAAGAAGTCTGTTTCTAGTACTTAAAACTCAATCAACTAGAGCTGCTCTGCTTGAAGAAGTAGATATTGCCAAGGAACTTGGGTGTGAGGGGAGGTGTGCAGAGCAGAATTTGAAAACTTCTAGACAGTTTATCCAATAAATATTTGCTTGAAGTGTGATAGTCCTTGAATCCTTTCTTCCTATCTTTCTGGCCTTCTGTAGAAGAGATTGTATTTTCCCTCCAATCAGGGAGAATGGGGTAAGGAGCAGAGCCAGTTACTACTGCCTGGGGTTGAAGATGCCAAGGACCTTGCACCCTGACACCAAACTGCTTTTATTGAAGAAGCCCCGAGCCTTTCGAATTTAAATAGGGAGTCAGTGGACAGGAAGCAGTCACTTTATAATGTATTGGTTAATGTGAGTGGTGAAATATATTTGTATCCTCAGCATTTTGCAAGGGCTCAGTATGCTAGAGCATATAGAGCTGTGAGCTGGATTCTGTTTTGTCAGTTGAGTGAGGGTAAAATTGCCCTCATACATCAGCCAGCTCATCACACAGCCAGCAGCCACTCAGTATTGTTTTTTTTCTTTTTTTTTGAGATAAAACACACTGAACATAAAATTTGCCACTTTAAAGTGTACAGTTCAGTGGGTTTTTTTCTCCTAACAATGTTGTGCAGCCATCACCACTATCTAACTGGGCAATATTTCATCATCCCCAAAAGAAACCCCATTACCCATTAAGCAGTCACTCCCTATTCTCTAGCCTTTGACAACCTACTTTCTGTCTCTGTGGATTTGCCTATTCTGGACATTTCATATAAATGGAATCATGTCTGGCTTCTTTCACTTAGTATAATGCTAGTATATATTTATCTTATTACTTTCTTATGATACTTTTTAGAAGTAGAATTCTTCCACAGATCTACCAGGTAGTCATTTCTTCTATCCTCACATGTATGCTTGGGATGGACATACCTAACAGCTGGAGTAGCATCCACATCAGATCCTTGACCGGTCAAATAAGAGCCGTCAT